TTGGAAACCCTTCAAAGGACTGTTATGAGTTGGGAATGACTGGATAACACTTTAACAACAAATTTATGTTACTAGTTGTTGAGTAATTCAGAAAAGAAGAGTGGTGATGATTGGCCAAGATGAAGAATGCATCAATATCACTGCATTAATGAACATGTAAAAACTGTTGACTTGACAAATGTTTTGTTTTACACACACACACACACACACACACACATATGGAGCTCTGGTAGCGTAATGGTTACGAATCAGGCTGCTAACCTCAGGGACAGCAGTTCAAAACTACCGGCTGTTCCGTGGAAGAAAGATTCGTCTTTCTACTCCCATAAAGATTTACAGCCTTGGAAACCCTGTATAGGGTCACTATGGGTCAGAATCAACTCCATAGCACATAACAACAACAACATAGATACATATTACATAAATAATAATAATTAATTGATGTTGCCGTTAAGTGTCATTGAGTCCGTTTTGAGTCATATTTAAGGCTTGCAAGGAGCCGCTGGTGGTTTTGAACCACCAACCTTGCAATTAGCAGTTGAGTACCACACCAGTTATCCACTTATTTGGGGATTCCTCTAATAGAATCTAATTACCCATGTGCTTATGGATCTTATCAGAAAGCATCCTGACTTATGTGCATCTTCACGCCCAACTTCCTGAAGCTAGAGAAGCTTTTGCTGAGGCCCAGGGGCACTTCTATTTCAGGGCTGCCTCTGGGAACTCTAACGTGGTAGACTGGTCTGTGGTCAACCCACACATCCCATTAAACATCACCAGTGTCATTTAAAGCCATATGTTAGCATAGTGAGTCACGAGTTGGACTGCTAACTGCTAGGTCAGCAGTTTGGACCCACCAGTTGCTTTGCGGGAGAAAGATGAGGCTTTCTGCTCCCGTAAAGATTTACAGCCTCAGAAACCCTGTGCAGGGTCGCTATGGGTCGGAACCGACTCCACGGCCCATAACCACCACCACCATGGAGCACTTCTATTTGCTGGGAACTCTAATATGATGGACTGGGCTGTGGTCACCCACACATCCCATTAAAGGCTCCTAATGCCACTGAGTGCCAGGAGCCATCAATGTTTGGGCCTTGGGTCATTAAGTCTGATTTGAAATACATCTTAAATTCAGTGATAGAGGTTGGCAGAGCAATGGTAGGAAGGGGCTTCAAAAAGCTTGTGACAAATGGAAATCTTAAGGTAGTGGAATTTTTCCATGAGCTTTCTGAAGTTTTTCGTATTACCGTCACATGTTGGCTACCCATTAGTAATGAGAATAAGTGGGGTTACTCAATGGCCAGGAGACCGAAAGGCAATGCATAAAGAAGGACAAAAGGGGATAAAGAGACAAGGACTGCAAAGGCAGTACCTGGAGTTGATGCAAAAAAAAGACAAAAAAACGGTCAGAATTAAATACGCATGCCCGAGAATGACCCTGGCTTAGAAGACTCAGGTAGCCCCACTCTCCGCGCGTACTTGCTTGGAGCTGGTTTGCTTGGAGTTACCACTCAGAGTTTAACTCAATCTGCTCTGAAGGAAAGGAGAATGATGCTTGAAATTATTCCAGAGTCATAAGCTGTGCCGAGATGTCTCTGATATTAGAAGGGAATCCCCATTTCAAAGCTCCCAGTCCTCAACTTCATTCTCTTTGCTCATGAAAGTTGAGTTATAATCTAAATAGGAAAATGTACACCAGGTCCATTCCTGGAAAGAGGAGGTGTCAGAAACCTTGGATAGAAGAAAATGAAGAGGAGGGTCTGGTAAGGATGATAAAGGGGGAGGAAGGCAATGCGTGCTCAGGAGACTGAGGGGAATAACATGATGGGAAATTAAAAGTCAGTAGCCACAGCAAAGCCTAGGTAGGAAGGGTCTTCTCAATACCTCAGGAGACAGTGACCAATTGAAAGACCGGTGGTGGCGGCTATGTGCCGTGGTTCCGAATCATAGCAACTCTGCACAGGGTTTCCAAGACTGTAATTCTTTATGGAAGCAGAAAGCCTCATCTTTCTCCCATGGAATGGCTGGTAGTTTTGAACCGCTGACCTTGAGGTTAGCAGCCCGACTCATAACCACTACGCTACGAGAGCTACTGAAAGGACATTTGTGCTAGAGATTATGTTCCATGTTATGCTGTTTCTGAGTATTTTGTTACGCTGTTGTGAAGTGTTCCATGTTATATTGTTATGTGCAGTCAAGTTGGTTCTAACTCAGAGCAACCTTTTAAAGTGTTTCTGAGGCTATAAATCTTTCTGGGAGTAGAAAGTCTCATCTTTCTTCCAAGGAGCAGCTGGTGGGCTTAAACCGCTGACCCTGAGGTCTTCTTCCACTCTTGGCCTCTTCAGTCCTGCTTTCGTCACACTGGACTTCTCCCTGGCCACAGGATGGATGAACCTCAAGACTTTCCTGAGAACTTCATCTGGGATGCAGATCTCTCTGCTCAGTTACCACCTTATCTCAAACCAGAGAAGCTTCCTGCCTCAGTACAGCCAGCCCCCTCACATGTTGGACTTCCCTTGTGCTCATTGTCACCCAGTATATACTGATTGATTGATTGAATCTGTCTGTCTCTGCAATAGAATGCAAGCTTCATAAAGGCTGGGTTTTAATTTGTGTTTTTCTATAGACTGCTCATCACATAGTGGTGGTGGTTATGTGCCGTGGAGTCGGTTCCGACTCATAGCAACATTGTATAGGTTTCTGAGGCTGTAAATCTTTACGGAAATAGAAAGCCTCATCTTTCTCCCACAAACAACTGCTAGTAGTTTCAAATTGATGACCGAGAGATTAGCAGCCTGACTCATACAAACCCACTAAGCTACCAGAGCTCCTTAATCGCATAGTTGTTGTTAAGTGCTGTTGAGTCAGTTCCAATTCATAGTGACCCTGTATAGGGCTTCCAAGGAGTGGCTAGTGGATTTGAACCACTGACCTTGTGATGCACACCAACCTTGTGGTCCAGTGCTTTATCCTGCAGCACCATACCAGGATTCCATCACATAGTTGTAGCTATTGTTGTTACGTGCCGTCGAGTCAGTTGTGACTCATAGAGACCCTGTGTAGGGTTTCCAAGGAATGGCTGATGAATTTGAACCACTGACCTTGTAGTTCAAACAACTTTGCAGTCCAGTGCATTAACCTGCAGTGCCCCACCAGGGCTCCTCACAGAGTAAACCTCCGTAAGTATTGGCTGAGTGAACGCATACACCAAAAGCCGTGATATTTACAGCACACATAAACAATTATATTGATTGAATTTGTCTGGTGCTTCACATTGCACCACCAACAAGGGGTAGGGGCAAGGGTGGGAAATTGTCACAGATGGTTAGACTTGGTAAGACTTGTCATGTTTTGTGACAATGCAGATTTGTGGCTCTGTGCCATGGGCTCTAGGGGTTTGGTGGGCAGCCCACAATACGAGCCCCAATGACCCTCCCCTCTTGATAGTCACACTTTTGTACATCCCCTTCTGTATTGAACAGGGCATGTAACTAAGGGGATATTACAGGCATGATGGAGAGTAAGTCCTAAGGCTGAGTCACGGAAGGCATGGTGTGTTATGCCTTTCTCCCTCTCATTTCACTCCCTCCCTCTGAGGAAAACCAGCCGCCATGCAGTGAGGGCTCCCAATGAGCCCATGGAGACCACCTCATGGAGAGGAGCTGAGGTCTCCTGCCAACAGTCAGCACCATGTGAGTGAATCATTGTAGAAACCCATCCTCCCGCCCCAGTAAATCTTTCAGGTGATGCAGCCTTAACTGCAACTTCAAGAGACCCCAGGCTACAAGAACCCGGGTAAGTGGCATCCAATTTCCTGACGCACAGACACTGTGGGGAATACATAATAAATGCTTACCATTGCTTCTGAAACAGTACGGTTTGTTAGAAAGTTTACGTTTTAGAGTCACTTGTTTCTCAGAGGTAGGTAATGAATACAAAGTGGGTGATGTGGGGGCCGGCAATCCTGGCTTCGGTTGATCTAGGTTTAACTAGCATTGTACTGGTTAACTATACCACCCATTTTCCCAGCTGGTTCCATTTTGATGCTGCAATTCTCAAGTCGCCACAAATGCCACCTGTATCCTCAATAAACTTTATTTAGACACAAATAGACACAACACAAAATACATACACAGATACATATATATATATATTTTCACTATAGGTTGAACAAACATCACATAGGGAATTTAAAAAGTAAGTGCATGGAAGGTAAGAAAAAATTGCAAAGTTCCTTGTTCACTCACACTTAAAACAGACACAGATTACAGAGGGAGACCTTCCCCACAACAGTATTCACATTTGGTCTATAACAGTACACAGGGTGTTGGGAAGGTAATCAACCGAGTGAGTGGACCCAGTAACTCTGGAAGTCACAGGATGCTCACAACATTAGGAGAATTCTTTTTATACAAATGACACAGTTGCCTGAGGATTCCGTACCCCCTGCACAGATGCTCTGCAAGCTGTCAGCTAGGACATAAAGCAGCTCAGCAGAAAGGCTATGTTAGCATTCATCTTGCTGTTTGAGGGTCCATATAAGCTCTATCTCAAGATCCACATCATCTCGGGTTTACATAGACACACTTGGATGCTGGGCTGTCCATGAAACCCTCCTCATGCATACTGGCTTAGAAACCCACAGCTTCAGAACATGGACATCAGGTGCTTTTAAAAGGAAAGAGACGAATAGACAAAAGGAGAGAAAAACACTTTGCAAAAGCTGCCGTATGGGTTGGCAGCGTTTCCCCCAGCACACGGCCGTGGTTACCCCCTCAGGGAGCCACAGGCTTCAGGATCCTGCTCCAAGCCACAGGCGGGGCAGCACGGATGTCTGTTTCAAGTCTATTTCCCTCTACAGTCACTCCGGTCAGAAGCAATTGACACACCCCACTCACTCCTGGCCTGGGCACTCCTCTGGCCTCCACACCATCTTCACCTTTCAGACTGGTTTTCCCTAGGCAACCTCTGTATTTAGTAAAAAATGGTTTCCACTGTACCCTTCGTGTGTCCTCTTCCTAATGTGACAAATCCAGAGGAGATGAAGTTGTGGAGATCAGGCCCTCCGCTTCGGTAAGCCTCCTTCCCATAATGCCCTGTAAGACAAAGAAGCTGAATTACCTGGAGAGTCCGGGACATCACACAGAAAATGAACGCAGCTCACTCCCTACCCAGCGATGGGGATGCATTGAGTTCCAAATCAGCAGTTAAAGTTAGAAGGACTCAGGAGAAAAAGAAAAACATATATATATAAAAGGAGCTCTGGTAACGTAGTGGTTACGAATCGGGCTGCGA